AAGAACTTTCCTTCTTGACATAGTCCCCTGATGAGAGGCATCCAATATTTTGCACACATTAAAAATGTGTGGTCTAACAGCTGAGCAGTTAAAGTCTGCAGAAAGGTCTAACAGCTGAGCAGTTAAAGTCTGAAGAAATGTTGTAGAGACATCCAGAGGGAGAGTTCCTGACACAGCTTTAGTAGAGAAGCTGGCTGAGCCTCATTACAGCTTCTTCTCATTACCAGGAAACGTGGTGATTTGCATGGCAGAGTTTCCTCGTCACTGTATTTTCTCAGGTTTACATACAGAGCCGTTCCCACCCACCATTGTTCTGGGGTGAGTGTTAAACAGTACAGGGTGGTCAGGCTGAGGTTTGGATAGCTGCTGCTGCTGGAGACCACTTGGGCTTTATGTCAGGCCCCACCTCACCTCCCCCTGAGAGAGGAGGTCCAGCAGCAGAGCTCACTAACATTAGGGTGGAATCACGAGTGACAGAGTTGCCTTCAGGACCTGACATGCATGGATTCGTGAATGTAGTCTAATATTCTTAGGTAAAATTTGTCTTTAGCTGAATGCACTACTAGTTGGATGCACCTTCATTGCAGCCTTACACAAGCGTGTGCAGGTGGCTGAAACGCCACTGAGAAGTAAGAATAAAACCAGTAAAACAATGGGTGAGCAGAAGCACTTCAGCACTTATGTTGGTGCAGCATTATGTAGTCCTCTGGAATCCAGTACAGTTGATTAAAAACCAACATAAATATCAATGTGAATCAATGTGAAAACTTTATAACCAGTGTAATTGGTGCAAGTGATAATCTAAGTAGTGTGGTTAGCAATCAATAACCTGGTGTCTGTGGATTAACTCCAGTTTTACATTGATTGCATCTATCAAAATGGGAGTTATGATTCACTTCCAGGCTGAAATGATAATATCAATTAATAACAAATCTAGTCCAACAATTTTGATAACCAATTCATCATTACACTGGCAGTTGATGGTCTTTTTTGGCCTCTTGACATATCATCACATTTTAAGTTAATATACTGAACAGATGTTTATTTCCACATCCAGCAGTTCCACAGCAACATGCTCCTTCCTGTGCAGTGTGCCCGTGTCCCCCTGGTGACTCTCAGCCGGGTGCTCCCTCTGTTAGCTCTGGGGTTGGTCTCCACCAACTCCTGAGGGAAACCTCTGGCTCTGGAGCTGCTAAATGCTCCACTGTGGTCACAAGCTGGTCTCTGACAGGCTCTGTCTGACTTCTATAGACCAAATTATTCAGAAAATGAATTAGTTTAATCAGTTATGAATACATTTGTTACTTGTAGCTGTAGTTATGAAGTATATGCAAATTTCAGAGTCCAAAATTGGATTTTTGATGGGGAGGAAATCTCCTAGCAGAGGTTTTAAGCCACACAGCTCCTGATGGCATCTTGTCTGGTTACTTGGCTCTGTCTTCTTTTTATCTCACACAGCGCATGTGTGACTGTAGCATGAGGCAAACCCATTCTCCTCCTATTGTGACTGCAACATTGTGTTGTTCTTCTTTAGATGCTGGAACAAACTAGTTTGCTGCATGTAATAAAAAGCGAGAAATGAACTTTAACACACAGGATAAGAGCGTGGACATGTGTCACAATCCCCAGACTTACTGATGTGAATACACAAGGGGTGGATATTCGGCCTAAACTGGAGACTGAGTCACAGCAGAACTGTGTTCCCTTCAATCAGCAAGTCTCCAGCCGTGATAACGACTCTGAGGCTGCACTTAGACACAGCAGTGCTGTAACGTCATAGTGCTAATGCGCTGGTGTTTGGCAGGTACAGTTTTTACCATATTAGAGTTTAAAACATTTGGTAATTAGTACTCAAAAGTACAGTTGAAGCTGATAGGAGTGTCATTAGTTTAGCAGGTTTTTATAACGGTGCTGGGTGGAAGAGTAGAGAGGGGATTGTTTAAGTTACGCTAGGATCCACCTAAACATATATTTGGTATCACGCTGTGCATGCCACCTCACTGTCACACTGTCATGGCTTGATTTCAGTGAAGCTGCTGTTCAAGTGATCAATGACACCTGTGATTTTCCTACTATGACAAGTCAGATTGTCTGCTGTGAAAAGGGCCTCACACCAAGGACATGCGAAGGAGCCAGTGAGTAAAATCGACAAAATAAATCACATTAAACTGGCGAAACAGATCCAGGCGACTTGGTCCAGGATAATGAAATTCTCATGTTAACTGAAGCTTGTTGACACAGGTTGCACTGCAGAACAAAACTTTTAAATATTATATAATATAAACAAGCAAAATCGGCCTGGTGTGGTTGTGGCCTTGCTTGGCAGAGTCTCATATATGTGTGTCGTCATTATCAGCCTGTTCCTCTGACAATCATCAATTATAGATTGAAGTCAAAAGCCTAGTGTCTCTCAAACCACTGCCCCACACCTGCTGTGTGCACTTTGTCACCCCTTTGTTTGCTTTATAGTCATATTTACATTTACAACCTAGATGGAAGAGCAGATAACTGGGTTATTCCAAAACTGGTTAGTAATGACCCAGGTCGTCTGACTGAGGAGTGATACATGAATTTAAACCCTCAGTGTTGAACTTCTCAGCTTACAATCGAGCTGTACCAGCCCTGTGGTGATCCAGTGAAGGATGACTGGGACACCACAGAGCTGGCTGACCCTAGGACACTACACATTTTATCACAATTATATGTTAACCAAATAAACATTTATAAGATAAAAGGACCAGTCACAGTTTCACCATCCGGCCACAGCTAAATCTGGTACAGTACAGATTGTAGATAAGGTATGATATACTTTATTTGTCTCCATAGGTAAGCTTGTTTTGACTTCTATAGGGCTGTGTATTGGCAAGAATCTGGCGTATCGATACGTATCACAATACAGGGGTTACAAGTCATGTCGACTTGTAACCCCTGTATTGTGAGATACATTGTGATACTGTGAACAAGGCACCATATTTAGAGTTTTAAATCAAATTTTAGAAAAACTGTCATAAAATAAGCGACACACCACCATATGCATAAAATCTGCTGTAACAAAGATGACTTTTTATGCAAACACAACAGGGACACAAAGTCCCTGTAACATTCGACAAAGTAGCACTAGTTGACATGTAAACAATTTGTTAAAAATAAATACTGTGTTCATTTGTTTCAGTTTTTAAACATAAGATTTGTAAATATGGATTTTAATTAAATTAATTATTTTAACAGGGTCTTAATGATCCCATGTCAGCTGAGCTGGCATGAATAAATAAACTGGCTTCTATGGACATCAATCAAGCATATGCTTATGTGAGTCAGACAGCGTGAAATAATTTATTCTCTTTGTACTGGTTTAGTAATTCTCCTGTCGGCACATAAAGATCCAGGCAGCCAAGAGGAGGCGGTAGGATCTTGAGAAGAACTTCAGTCACTCAGAGATTTATGCACATCCACTTTACACTGGTATTTACTGCTTAGGCTTGTGTTGATGCGTAGCATGTTAAACGCTTCTGAGCAACAGACTGAAAAACATTACAAATTAAAAGTGGGCTGAAAACCACAGTTACAGCACAATGAGCATGATTGACATCAGGATGCATTTGAAAGGGTGAGACGGTCAGGAGTCACCCTTTCACAGTGGGCACTCCAGTGGATGACGTATGCCTCCACCGGAGTGGACATCATGCATTTGTGGTTATAATTCAGCTACAAATTTGTTGGACTGAAACTTTATTGATGTGGAAATTCTTTGTCAATAGTGATGTTTTCTTAGTCAGCCAGGTGATATCTGATTTGAATGTTTAATTAGTAAAAGCAGTATTTGGTGCCAGTGTCTGTTGTGCTACTCTTTCTGTACACTGTGTTGTCAGGTTTGGCCTGAGGTTGAGAGGCGAAGCCAAAACAGAAGTGTTAAAACCTGCAGTACCTCAAATGGGAGTCAGTCCCCGTAGACTCCCATGTTAAAACTTTACAGCAGAAATCATCGTTTCCAACCTAGTATAAAAATCAGTTTTGCTCTCTATAGTTAATTTCCCTTCCATGGCAACTGTAGGGGGGGGGGGATTTTTATAGAACTCGCCAGTTAAAATTTTATTGAGGCTTAAATTAATGCATAATTAAGAAGCAAAGCACTGCTGGTGTAGTGCTGGCCAGACTTGAGCCTCGAATCCACTCTTCAGAAAACCAGCGGGTGATGTCACAGAGAGTTTGTCCATCTTTTATATACAGTCAGTGGTTTGGCCTTAGCTCACTGGAAACAGACCGCAAACAAAAGATGTTGTACTCAGTGCTTCTGCCTGCAGTGTCTCGTGGATGTGGACAGAACTCAGGAACTGTTGTACATTTCAGAGATCATAAAGAAGAAAGTGGATTGCTGATTTTTATTAAAGTAGAGTGGTTATTAGGGCTGCAGCTAACAATTATTCTCATTTATTAGTTAATCTGCTGCTCATTTTGACAAATGACAATGACCTATCAATTATCAAAGAGTTGCTGATTACATTGCTTTGGACCAATCAATAACTGACTCTGTGCTGAAGATCAAGTTAATATTTTTATTCCTTTCTTTTAGGAAAATTAATTTATATAATGTTTACTCAACAAAGGTCAGAGCTAAACACTACAGCATAGAGAGCATCGACACAATTGCACGGGTTGTTTTTCTGTAGCCAACAGCGGTACATGTAAAAGTATTTGTTTTACAGTAATAGAATGATGCTGTTATTTATTACACTGTTATTAGGTACTGCTTTACATTGATCAGTTAAACACAGCAGATTGGATGTGAAAAACCTGGAAAATACATGTAAAGTTAAAATAAGTTCAAACTTTTTTCATGCCTAATGAAAAATAAAAACAACAAGACCTGCCCAAGGCTTTCATCCATGAAAAGGTCTAGTAATAAATAACATGCAAAGAAACACACAGGTCTGTTTTAACAAGCAACACTGCTCCTACTTGATTTTTACTAAATGTGTAACTATATACTTTATGTTTTCCAGAGATGACACGAGGCTGTTGACACCTGACGGGGCCAGTAGTTAAGGGAAACCCATTTGAGTAGCCGGAACACAGTGACGGGTCCAAACATGGCTGCCCATCGAATCAGAACCACCACCAACAACAACACTTCTCTCCCACGCTGCAAGTCTGAGGGGACGCTCATCGACCTCAGCGAAGGAGTGTCAGAAGCCAGTCTCACTGATGTCAAAGGTCAGCTGCTCAAAGCCAAACAAGCATTCAGCAGGGGTCAGGAAGGCCCTAAAACTCATTTTATAAATCAGCTTCTTACAGTGAAATTACAAACCTTGTGGTTTTTCACAGGAGATTCCTGTAGTTCTTCGTTTTCCTTGTGGGTGATGTCATGGATCAGTTTAACATTTAAATGGGAATTTGATGGTAGTCAGGAGCTGAATTTTGAGTGATAAACTGTTAATAAATATTACTGTGGTAATACTATAAGTATCTTTGTTTTTTTACTTTAACTTTGGTCATGTTGAGGAGAAATAGTAAAGACTGAAGCATAGTTCTCAGGGGCTTTAAAGACATGAAGTGGGGGACAAATCATATAAATTTGATTGATTTTGCATGATGGGGTAAAATATGAAGAGCATGGACATCAAATTACTACAGTGCACACAGAGATGTCAAACTATCGCATAGAGTGGGTACGGAAAGTATTCAGACCCCCTTAAATTTTTCACTCATTGTTATATTGCAGCCCTATGCTAAAATCATTTAAGTTCATTTTTTTCCTCATTAATGTACACACAGCACCCCATATTGACAGAAAAACACAGAATGTTTGACATTTTTGCAGATTTATTAAAAAAGAAAAACTGAAATATCACATGGTCATAAGTATTCAGACCCTTTGCTGTGACACTCATATATTTAACTTAGGTGCTGTCCATTTCTTCTGATCATCCCAGAGATGGTTCTACACCTTCATTTGAGTCCAGCTGTGTTTGATTATACTGATTGGACGTGATTAGGAAAAGCCACACACCTGTCTATATAAGACCCTACAGCTCACAGTGCATGTCAGAGCAAATGAGAATCATGAAGTCAAAGGAACTGCCTGAAGAGCTCAGAGACAGAATTGTGGCAAGGCACAGATCTGGCCAAGGTTACAAAAAACTAGAGCTGGCTGTCCGGCCAAACTGAGCTATTGGGGGAGAAGAGCCTTGGTGAGAGAGGTACAGAAGAACCCAAAGATGACTGTGGCTGAGCTCCAGAGATGCATTCGGGAGATGGGAGAAAGTTGTAGAAAGTCAACCATCACTGCAGCCCTCCACCAGTCGGGGCTTTATGGCAGAGTGGCCCGACGGAAGCCTCTCCTCAGTGCAAGACACATGAAAGCCTGCATGGAGTTTGCTAAAAAACACCTGAAGGACTCCAAGATGGTGAGAAACAAGATTCTCTGGTCTGATGAGACCAAGATAGAACTTTTTGGCCTTAATTCAATCAATTCATTAATGCAATCGAGGGAAGGATGAATGCGGCCAAGTACAGGGATATCCTGGACGAAAACCTTCTCCAGAGTGCTCAGGACCTCAGACTGGGCCGAAGGTTCACCTTCCAACAAGACAATGACCCTAAGCACACAGCTAAAATAACGAAGGAGTGGCTTCACAACAACTCCGTGACTGTTCTTGAATGGCCCAGCCAGAGCCCTGACTTAAACCCAATTGAGCATCTCTGGAGAGACCTGAAAATGGCTGTCCACCAACGTTGACCATCCAACCTGACAGAACTGGAGGGGATCTGCAAGGAGGAATGGCAGAGGATCCCCAAATGCAGGTGTGAAAACTTGTTGCATCATTCCCAAAAAGACTCATGGCTGTATTAGCTCAACAGGGTGCTTCTACTAAATACTGAGCAAAGGGTCTGAATACTTATGACCATGTGATATTTCAGTTTTTCTTTTTTAATAAATCTGCAAAAATGTCAAAAATTCTGTGTTTTTCTGTCAATATGGGGTGCTGTGTGTACATTAATGAGGAAAAAAATGAACTTAAATGATTTTAGCATATGGCTGCAATATAACAAAGAGTGAAAAATTTAAGGGGGTCTGAATACTTTCCGTACCCACTGTAGATGATAGATGAGTTGTCTGTGTGTACCTGCAGCAGTTCATTGGACTGTTGTGACTGTGGATCTCCAGCGGGCTTTGGTTGTTTTGTTGCAGATTTTACAATCACATCTATGAGAAGGTTAGGCTGAAAAAAGTCACCACCCTCAGGTTAGAGACATTGCACAAGTATAATAATTCAACCCCAGGATACCTGCAGGTCTTGAAAAGCACTGAATTCAGTTTTCTTGAGAAAAAAAAGCCTTAGAAGGTATTAAAAAGTGTCAAACATGCTGCTCATCTCATTTCAGATTTTATTATATATTGCTTTTACTTTTCCTCCTGTCTGTGCTGAAGCATCTGCCCGTGACAGTTCATAGCGATAGCCTACAAATGCACAATAATACCATCCCTGAAAGCAGCGCAGTTCTTTCCTTAATCTTAACTATTTTGTCTTGGAAATATGTTTCAATCATGTTTTCTGTTTTTCAATATTTGCGCAGGCTTTAAATATCTATTAAAGCGCTGCGTCTAAGTTCTGGCAGCCGATTCTCCCCCTCACTCCATAGATCCGAACACACTGAAGTGAAATGACAAGGAGCAACATATACAATTTGAAAGATGCTATAACCACATACATTGCATAGAAATGCTAGTTGTGGTGAAATCATCCACCCCTGTTTGACTGTTTCTTTTTATTCCAGTGCCTTCTCCCAGTGCCTTACGGCTGGACGCGACCGCCTCCTTTGGCGCTGCCAGGGAAGTCGTGGCTATTAAGGACTACTGCCCATCCAGCTTCACCACCCTAAAATTCTCTAAAGGGGATCGCCTGTATGTTCTGGACTCGTCAGGAGCAGAGTGGTGGTACGCCCACAACAACACAGAGATGGGTTACATCCCTGCAGCTTATGTGCAGCCGATCAACTACAGAGACTCATCCTTCAGTGACAGTGGGATGATTGACACTGTGGGAGACTGTAATGAGGAGGCAGCTACAGAAATGGAACTTTTAGGAGAGTGGGCAGGGGTGATACTGAAACCAACCACCTTCCAAAATGGAAATCCTTTTGTAACAACCCATACCTCTACGAACCCTTTCCTACATGGGGGTCCTCAGAGCCCACTTGATCAAAACAGTAATGAGAAATCAGTTGACCTTCTTCTGTTTGATACGGTCACTCCATCAGTGCCCACCTCCACCAGAAGCACTTCTGACATCAGTGGTGTTTTTAACTTGAACTCTCTTAGTCCCACGGTAGGGGTGGGGCAAACACTGCGCAGGGACAACCCGTTTTTCAGAAGCAAACGGTCTTACAGTCTGTCTGAGCTGTCCATCCTTCAGGCTCAGTCTGACACTCCCCAAGCCTCCACCGGTTTCTTTAGAGGCCTTAAAGCACCGGTGCCTGAGCAGTTCCAGAGCAGGGAGGATTTCCGGACAGCGTGGCTCACCCACCGCAAGCTTGCCAGGTCCTGCCATGACTTGGACACACTGGGTCAAAACCCAGGCTGGGGCCAAACACAGCCAGTGGAAACCAACATTGTCTGTCGACTGGACAGCTCTGGAGGGGCCGTCCAGCTTCCAGACACTAACATCAGCATCCATATACCTGAGGGCCACGTGGCCCCAGGGGACACCCAGCAGATTTCACTCAAAGCTCTGCTCGACCCACCACTTGAGCTAAACAACGACCGCTGCACCACCGTCAGCCCTGTGGTGGAGATTAAACTCAGCAACATGGAGACCAAGACCACTGTTACCCTGGAGATGAAAGTGTCTGTGGTGGTAAAAATGGAGAGCAGGCAGACAACTGAAGTCTTATGTGTCAGGAGTGATTGTAAGGAGGGACCTTACACTCCCATTCCTCAGGCGTACATGTACGGAGACATGGTCCAGGTGTGCCTGGATAACCTAGAACCCTGCATGTATGTGTGTGTCGTGGCTCAGTCCCAGTCCATATCTCCAGACTCCACAGTTTGGGAGCACGTTGTTAAAAAAATTACCTTAGGTGTATATGGCCCCAAACATATTCACCCGTCCTTCAAGGCAGTCGTGGCTATGTTTGGCCACAATTGTGCCCCAAAGACACTATTGGTGAGTGAGTTTGGCAAGCAGACGCAGTCTGCACCACCAGTAGCACTGCAGCTCTGGGGTAAACACCAGTTTGTCCTGACCAGACCCCAGGACCTCTGTGTTGGAGTTTACTCCAACATGGCCAACTACGAGGTAAAGGCTAGTGAACAGGCCAAAGTGGTCCGGGGCTTCCAGGTTAAACTAGGCAAAGTTAGCAGGCTCATTTACATTATTACCTCACGCACCACTGATGATGTTTCTGATTTTACCTTAAGAGTCCAAGTCAAAGATGACCAAGATTGTATACTTGCTCAGTTTTGTGTCCAGACACCAACACCTCCTCCCAAAGCAGGCCCAAAGACATTAGTGCAGCGACGCTTCCTGAAGAAGAAGGAAGTTGGAAAGATAGTCCTGTCTCCTCTCGCCATTGCCACCAAATACCCTGTTTTTCAGGACAGGAAGATAAACAACCTGAAGTTTGGAAAATTAATCAAAACTGTCATCCGACAAACAAAAAATCAGTACTTGCTTGAGTACAAAAAAGGAGACTTTGTATCTCTAATGAGTGAGGATAAGATCAAGCTGAAGGGACAGCTATGGACAAAAGAATGGTACATTGGATATTATCAGGGCAAATTGGGACTTGTCCATGCAAAGAATGTGCTGGTGGTTGGCAAAGTTAAGCCCATTTATTTCAGTGGGCCTGACCTTATGACTTCACTGTTACTGGAGCAGATCCTGAGGCCCTGCAAGTTCCTCACTTACATCTATGCCTCTGTAAGAACTATACTGATGGAGAACATCGGCAGCTGGCGGGCGTTTGCGGACGCCCTCGGATACATCAACCTGCCCTTGACGCATTTCTGCCGCACAGAGCTGGACAGTGAGCCCGAGAAGGTTGCGTCAGTGCTGGAGAAGCTGAAGGAGGACTGCAACAATACAGAGAGCAAAGAGAGGAAGTCCTTCCAGAAAGAACTCCTGACGGTAGGTTACAGCCTTGGCACCCTCCTTTGTTGCAGTGACTTAGCATTTTCTCCAAGCCACTGATTTGAGAAAATGCAGATTGTCCTCCTCTGTTGGAAATGTCTCGGGTGCATGCCTTTGTCCTCCATATGTCCATTTAGATGGCTATGTGTTTCTGTCTGTATCACCCTGGTTGAAGATTTCTCTCTCTAAGCACAGATCTTCCTTCTTCTTGTTATTTGCCCACAACTGCTTTGGACTGCATGTTGTGATCCAGTCTGCTAATTCTGCTGGGAGTGCAGTCGATAACTGCAGTGTAGGCATCAAGGTCCAGTCGAGACCTAAGGAGCTGTGAAAAGCAGCAAGATGCTTTGTTCTCATACTGAGTTAGGGTGTGTCCGGAATTCTGATCTTATAAATCCAAATGATGACTCAGGCTGCTCTGATCAGTTTTATCTTAATGTACATATGAATCATAGCACTTAGAGCTTAATGAAACAGAGCTTTACATTAAAGAATAAAGTCATTCAAGAAATGGATCCACAGGTACATTTAGTTTACATGTATCATGTGCTGTCAGTGAATACCTTCAAAACAGGGCCACGGGTGCTTATCAGGTATAGACATGATCGTTCTCTCCTTTTCCAGAAAGCTACAGTATAATTGGAGTAAAGGATGGGTATTCTTTACATACAGTAGTTGGTATTATACTTGTGCCTTTCTGCTGAAGTCAACAGATGTGTCCTCAGCTTTTCTCTTTTTACTGTATTGAGCTTTTCTACAAAGTAGGCAAAATACCGGGCTGCGTTATGTGCAAGCCAGCTCTCTCTGGCACTCGTCTGTGCATCTTCTGTTATGGAAATGTGGACCTTTGTTGCCTCGGGAAGTCAGGCTAGCAGTTCTCATCCAGAGATGCTCTTAAAACACCATTATGTCCATACTTTTGCTTATGGTCTAATGCTCCATAAAAGATTGTGTTTAAATCTTTGCTTTCTGTATCTGTGCCTGTTTGAAATATTACAGCATTAGCAGACTGGAAGCTTTCCCCCAGCGCCTTTATACCATTGTTCCTACACTCTGTTTCTCTGTCAGTTTCATATTCTCCTGAGAGTCTCTGTCAGAGGTCATGGGCATATTACAGCTGCAGTAACAGAGCAGAAACACTGTAATTTAAGTGAGGTTGTAAACACTAGTTAGAACCATTTATAGTCAGGGAAACTGCAGTATGGAAAAAAACATAATAGAAGGTGGTGAGTGAAAATATGGGCTTTCTGGGAGTCTGTACCATACAATTCATAGCTGAATATAGGTCTGGTTTTCTCTGATTTCTGTCAGGATTACACCTAAACTGCTGGTTACTGCAGGGACAATCAAAGCATCCAGCTAATTTGAAATCACAAAGGCTTTTTGTTTAACAGACACAAATACGCTGTTTGTGCCCTGTGCAAACATTTGATGTGTTTTTCTACTAATACTTTATTTTGTAGGCAAAGTGATTCCTGCAAAGAACCAAGTAGTTGTTTGGTATCAATTACAGAAAAACAGAGACATAGTTCTAAGACTGATTTTGTTCTTGGTTAGTCCACTGAGTTGTGTTGAGTTTTTGAAATTGGCTTCCAGGTGAATTTCCATGAAAGAAATTGCTCGATGTAAACCAAAGTTAATATTCACTGTTTAGATATTAATTATGTGAAATGGGATCCTTCATTCTGCTGTATTGGATGGTTGTTTGTGGACAAATTTAACCTTCTGTCCTCTGAATAAAAGCCTCAAGTGTGTGCTAGCTTAGCATTTATTAACAACTACCAACTGATCACTCTCTAATTGTATCTGTAATTAGTACAGGAAATTATTTAATGAACTGGAATTTACAGACCTGTTTTTCTGTTCTTTGAAAGTGGATTTAGTTGCATGTGGGTGTCAGAGTGAGGGTGAGTAAGTCTAACTGTCAGATGAATCCTCATCTTCTGCTCCTCTTGCATGTGAACTGTTTTCTCTGTCAGAGAGGACGATCTCTTAGAATTTGTCATGGACGGAAGTCTGTTTTTAGAAGAAAGAGAACCAAATCAAAAGCGCTGTGGCTGCAATAAAGAGTTGCCTTTGTGTTCAGATGTCTGGATCCGTTCTACTCGGCTTTGATCGTTGGTGGAGAAGAGGTCTGTCGGCAGTATATGTGCACACATATGGTATGGTTTCAACAATAGATTTCCCCCCTTCCCTGTTTTCTCTGTTTACCTGCTTCTCAGGCTCAGTTCTGTGATGTAAGTGAGAGTAAGCGTGCTGACTATGTTCATAGTGGATCCTTGAAGCCAGATGGACAAAATGTGAAGTGAGCTGTGAGTTTATGAACTTAACTTTTAATGGTCTCATAACAGAGTTGGTGGAATTCATTTTCAGCATAGCACTGAACAAAACGCTCAATAAACAGTGTCAGCAGCATTACATATAGGCCCCAATAACATACAGCATTAGCCAATAAATACAGTATTACAGTATTCCTGTGTGGCCAGAAATAGAAAAGTCTAGGCAGAATTCAGTGCCTGTATTGTGGCAGGAAACATCTGTCTGTTCACTTGCAAACAAAATTTACAGAATAGACACTGTGTGGATTGATGCTGTTCAATAGAACATTGTAAAAGAGGCGGACGGCCTAAGACTGTCCCTGTGTCACACTGCTGCTCCATCTGTCTGTCTTTGGTTGGGAGCTCAACATCTGCAAAACAGCTGTGACACTTCCTGAGCATGTTCCTACTCCTCAGAGGATAAATATGTCTTTTTATTTAATGCCACTATCAAGGTAAAATTCCCTTTCAGCAGTACTTTGGTTTATGTTGAAAGTTAATCGGAAAATAATGGCCACTCTGGTACTCAGAGACAGACTTCGATCATTGTTTTGACCTCTATCACCAGAACCAGGCCAAAATCCCCACTTCTGGCTAAAAAGGTTTTTGTTTGAATTTTCAAGAGAAGCAGCAACAAAAATCCTTGTTAAATAAAGGTTTTAGGCTTAAATGTTGCAATAATTAAAAAGGTTTGTAGTTTCATGTGCCTTGATGCATGAATGTGTTATCGTCACGTGAGTTTGCAGATCAGGCTAATTCATGGGTTCATAGGCTGATTATGAGAGAGTGGACCTAGGGGTACACACACTGAATAGGCCCTGCCCTCCTACATAACGAGTCAAAGAGACGTGTTTTGGTGTTTTTTGTCTCTTTGCAGTCGTTGGATTGACTTCCCATAAAGGCAGGTTAACTATCAGGTGCTGGCCCAAAGGACGCCTGCTCTTATTTAAGTTTGTACTTATTTATAATCTACCACTGGTTTTATTAAAACACATATCTGTAAATCATTCCTTTTTTTGTAGAGAAGCAGCAGAGGCAGCTCTGCGAAGACATGAGAAAGTATCTCATCCAGTATTTTGGGACTGAGTTGACCTTTGTGTTCACCACAGAAGTT